TGATTAATTAGATAGGGAGCCCAAGGCTCTATAAGTACATGGCAAGGTGAGAGAGAATGGATGAAGGGAATCGAGGGGAATCCCCATTGGGATCTCCAGAATCTCCAATTGGGTAATTGGAGATTGGGAGGATCACAATTGGATGAGGTTGGGATTTGTGAGTACACCCCAACCCACTAGAATATTCCTAACCTAAACTAGGATATAAAAGTACAAATACAAAAGTGGGATTTGCAATCTATTTCTAACACCAGGCAGTGGGAGCAGTCTTGATGCAAGACCAGGGGACCAATCGCCTACCTCAGCAAGAAACTACATGGGGCAGAACTAAACTACCCGATACACGACAAGGAGGCCCTTGCTATTATCATCGCCTTCAAAACCTGGAGATGTTATCACGAAGGACGACAAACAACCGTCTACACCGACCACTGCAGGCTGAAATATTTGAAGGCACAACCAATCCTTCTCCAGGCGGCAGGTCCGGTGGATTGACTTCCTCGAGACACACAACCACTATGACATCGTGTACAAGCCCGGCCACAAAAACAAAGCAGACGCTTCAGTCGGCCTGCACACGTTGCCGCAATCAAGGTCGAAGGGATGAACCCAGTCCTTAAGGAACTATTCACACACGGGTACGCGATCGACCCCGAAATTCCTTTGGCAGCAAAACGATACCTGCTACAGTGGGACAGTGACATCGCATACCGGAAGGGATCAACGAAGATCTGGGTTACCAATTACCCTCCTTTGTGCCAGTTACTACTCGAAGAATACCACGATGTCCTATACCTGGGACACTTCGGTTGCAATAAGACGCTAACCGGTACTACAAAGCGCGACTACTTGGCCCACATGGCAGCCGACGTCCAGCAATTCGTCACCTCGTGTGCTACATGTCAGCAGATGAAGAGCAGCAAGCAGAAAATGCAGGACTGCTACAGCCTCTTCCTGTCCCAGAACACCCATGGCAAGTGGTTAGCCTGGATTTCATCACCGGATTACCAACAACCACAAGCGGTCATGACGCAATCCTCGTCCTTATCGACAAATTCTCCGAAATGGGACACTTCATCCCAACACACACGACAGCACGCAACGAAGAGACAGCATAATTATTCATTCGCTACATCATCTCACAACATGGCATTCCAACCACACTCATCTCCGACCGAGACCCCAAGTTCACCAGCAATTTCTAGAAGGAACTGATGTCTCTGCTCAGGACCAAACTCGCCATGTCATCCGCCTACCATCCGCAGACAGATGGACAGACCGAGCGCCTCAACCAACTTGTAGAGCAACTCCTCCGCGCAACATTCAAAAGCGAAATCTCTAAATGGGACTTGTACCTGCCCGTAATGGAGTTTGCCTACAACAACAGCACTCATGCCGCTGTAAGAAAAAGAGTTGAAATGATTGATTAGGTAAGGAGCCCAAGGCTCTATAAGTACATGGCAAGGTGAGAGAGAATGGATGAAGGGGGAATTGGAGGGAATCCCCATTGGGATCTCCGGAATCTCCAATTGGGTAATTGGAGATTGGGGGATCACAATTGGGTGAGGTTGGGATTTGTGAGTACACCCCAACCCACTAGAACATTCACAACCTAAACTAGGATATAAAAGTACAAATACAAAAGTGGTATTTGCAGTCTATTTCTAACACACCCCCATAGACTGCAAACCCGTCAAGGAGCACATAGCCCCATGGAACGGAGAAGGCGATGGTGGTCAGCCTTGCCGAGAGCCTTGGTAAAGAGGTCGGCGAGGTTGCAATCTGAGGCGATGTACCGTACCGTCAGCTGGTCACTCTGAACAAGATCTCGGATGAAGAAATGACGAAGTTCGATGTGCTTGGTGCGAGAGTGGAACACAGGATCCTTGGTGAGATGAATGGCACTCTGGTTGTCACACCACAGGGTGGGCGACTGCTGGGGGTAGCCTAACTCAGCGAGGAGAAAGGAGAGCCAGCGTGCCTCTTGAGCAGCCATTGTGCCCGCGTAGAGCTCGGCCTCGCAGGACGACAGGGAGACTGCAGAGGACCGAGTGGAGCGCCAGCTGATGACTCCGCTACCAAGGGTGAAGCAGTACCCTTGGGAGGAGCGTCTGTCAGTCTGGTCATCGGCCCATGAGGAGTCTGTGTATCCCTCGAGCTTGACTGGAGAGGTACCACCAAGAGTGAGGATGTGAGACTTGGTGGCTTGTAGATAGCGGAGGACCCTCTTGGCTGCAGACCAATGCGAGGCAGTGTAGCGTCCGGGGGAGACGTACCGAGAGAGGACACTAACCGGGTAAGCCAAGTCTGGTCGAGTGCACATCATGGCATACATGAGTGAACCGACTAGCTCAGGGTACGGGTCCTTGCAGGCGTCAGGAGAAGGAACTGGAGGGGCCGTGAGCTGATGCTGTAGTGGGAGTGGAGTGGAGACAGAGTTACTGGAGTCCATGTCGAACCGCTTGAGAAGGTTGTCGATGTAGGACTCCTGGGAGAGGGTGATCGTGCAAGCCTGGCGGTCACGAGTGATCTCCATCCCCAGGTAGTTCTTGAGGTCACCAAGATCCTTCATAGAAGGGCGGAGCTGAGAGCAGACTGGACAGCTGCCATGTCGGCTGGATCTCTGGCGCTAGAATGAAGTCGTCGACTAGACGAGGATGTAGAAGGCTCGGAGGAGTGACGAACGAAGAGACTGGAATCTGAGGCAGAGGGATGGAAGTCAAGTGCGAGGAGGACTTCCTTCACCTTGTTGTGCCACTCACGAGGAGCCTGCTTGAGGCCATACACTGGGCGCTTCAGCTTCCACACTGTGTTGGCAGGTAAGTGCCAGGAAACCCCGGTGGGCGTTCCATGTGAACATCCTCCTTGAGCTGGCCTTGGAGAAAGGCGGAGGAGGCGTCCATGGACTTGATCTCGAAGTTGCCGCGAGCGGCTATATCAAGAAGAGCGCGCACAGTCGGGAGCTTGGCCGTGGGCGAGAATGTTTCGAAGAAGTCCGAGATACTCCCCTTCTGGGTGAAACCTTCGCCACGTATCGTGCCTTGAAACAGTGGAGCTTCGCCTGGGAGTTGTTTGACTCGGAAGATCCATTTCCGCCGACGATGTTGACACCGGAAGGGGAACAACATCGTCAAAGCTGTTGTTGCGAATGAACGCCTGTTCTCCACATCCATTGCTGCCTTCCACTCTTCTATAAGGCCCCGAGAGAGCTTCCTCTTTTGTGCGAGGAGTCGGAATGGTCGGGTTCTCGGTGAAGTTGAGGGAAGGGCCAGTCAGTAATGTCCGGGAAGATGTGAGAGAGAAATTGGCAGACCGCGTGAAGGTCAAACAGCTCCTCATGCCTGTCCTCCAGAAGTGCACGGGGGGAATACGGATAGGAGGGGAACATCACCCCCGGCAGGAGGAGGCGGGGTGACCGAACACCGGATGGAGAAGGCGCGCTGGTCCCCAGGCGAGAGGCGAGCCGGTCCCTTGGAACGAGTGCGACTAGAGACCGGAGACGAAGGCGGCTGCGGTGGACCGAGGGACTGGCGCCTCCGATAGGAGACTGGTGAGCCGGGCTCGACGCGCGGGGAAGGCGGAGCAGGAGGAGGTGCCGCTCGGAGGATACTGGGAGGCCGGGTGAGACACGCCGGACGGAGAAGGCCCCGGAGAAGGGCAGCGGCCGGAGGTGGGGCATCGAAGTCTGCCCAAACAAGCGTCGGGGAGGTGGAGGAGGCTCGCCCGGGTCGCAGAGTGGAATGGGCGTGTCTCATCGGAAGACGACATCACGGCTGCGAATCAGCTGTCTGGTGATTGGGTTGAGGAATAAGTAGTCTGGGGAGTCGGAGTTGTGCCCAGGTACATGCAGGTCTGGGTTTTGGGACCAAGCTTGCCACCTTGCTTCCTGCGCGTGTGGGGGCTTAGCAACACATACGCGGTACACCCCCAGACGCGTAGAGAGCGGGGAAGGCGTGACCCAAGCCAGAGAGCGGTAGGTGTGGTGTCGGGCCGGTGGGGATGCGGATAAAGATTGTAGAGGAGTGCCGCATGGAAGAGGGCATATCCCCAGAGTGACCGTGGTGCGTTGGCGTGACTGAGAGGCAGCGAGCGATCTGAACCAAGGTGTGGTTGCGGCTCTCTGCAATGCCATTCTGCTGCGGGCTTTCGGGGAGCGTGAAGGTTTGCCGAATCCCTTGGGCCGCACAGAATTTATCGAGTTTGCCATTGCGAAATTCTCCCCCGCCATCAGAATGGAGGCACTTCAGAGGAGTGCCGAACGTGACTTGAGCCTGGCGCACCCACGCCATGATGACATCAGGTGCCTCCGCCTTGGTATGCAGGAGGTGCACAGAAACATACCGCGAGTGGTCATCGACTAGTGTAAGAAAGTACCGATGACCGCCTGGGATGCGACTGGAGCTGGCCCCAGACATCCATGTGCACTAGGTCCAGCGGAGCAGCTGCGACGGATGGGGAGGAAGGTGCGGCTGCTGCCTGAGCTTGCTCTTGGTGCAGTCCAGGCAGGTGGGTGCAGGTGAGTCTGTTTGGTGGAGGGAAGCGCCGACGGGAGGCCAAGAAGAAGTTTCTTGGAAGCGATGTCGGCAAGTGTACGGAAGTTGGGGTGACCCAAGCGATGGTGGTAGAGGATGGTTGGGTTGGCGAAGCTGCGACACGAACACGGAGTGGTGCTGGCAGCTTGCGCTTGGGAGAGGCGGCGAGAGGTGCAGGTGAACGCAGCGTGTAGAGCTTGCTACTGTTGAGTGTGAAGCGTGCTAGGAGCTTGTTGGACTTAGGGTCGAAGAGGTCACAGTGATCCGAGTGTGCTGGGAAGATCGTGGTGACGCCTGCCCGTTGGAGCTCGTGTTGGGCCACGAGATTGTGGCGTAGTGTGGGAACACACATGCCGGTGACACTGCCCGAAGGAAAAGCTGGGCACGGAACTGTGGAGGAGCCCTTGGCGTGTGTTGTGAAACTGGAGTCTGCTCTAGTAGACGGATTGGGTGTCTCGTATGGCTTGAAGGAGTGTTCTTCCTTGAGAACCGTGTGAGTGGCCCCACTGTCGAGGGGTGAACTCTATTGTGGCTGAGGTGCTTTGTGAGCCAGGGATACTGCGAAATCGTCTCATTAATCATGGCAGTGCCAGGGAACAACATGTTGAGGCGCACATCAGCAGGTGCAGCCACAGCAGCCTGCACGGATTCCTGCGCTTCGACTTGATTGACTTGGCGAGGAGCACGATTGACCATCCAGCTTGGCGGCTTGGAGGCGGTCCCATTGACGGCATACCACTCGTCATCCTTCTTCTTAAAGCAGGAGGCAAGGCCGTGGTTGGTGCCGCCACACACCTGGCCAGCACGAGGGCCGCGCTTGATGACGTAGGGACACGGGGGGGAAGCGGTTTGCGCTGGAATGGCACCGAAGCGGCATAGGCTTGAGGCACGGGAGCGCGGATTGCATTGGCCTTGGCTTGAGCGCTGTTGTCCTTTTCGGAGAAAGGACGACGGATGAGACCTTGGCAAATGTGAGGTCTGCAGGAGCAAGGCCCAAAGAGCATCTTGCGTGTGACTTCGTATGCCGGAGTGAGGCCGACTAGGAGAGCGGCTGCAGGGGCTTGCTCGGGGAAGACTATCCCCAACTGTTTGAGTTCACCATGAATGGACTGCACCTTGGTGACATAGTCCGCCATGCCTGGCGAGTCCTCGAGCCGCACTTGGAACATGCTGGGGATGAGTATAGCAACTCCCACTGCAGTCTTGTTCAGGAAGCGATCTCGAGGTAGAGCCAAATGGCGTTGGCAGACGGGTAGTTGTGGTAGGTTTCGACGAGTTCGGGAGGAGTGGTGCCCATGAAGACACTAATGACCGCACCATCGGCCTTCTCCCAATTCTTGTACTTGAGCAGTGCAGCAGCATAAACTGCTTCGGCGGCGGCATTAGCTGGATCGGCGGACCTCTCGGGTTTAGGAGGCTCTTTGCCGTCACCGATGTTGAGAAGGACGTCGGTGAGCTCGAGCCCCTTCACCTCGCGACTGAGGAGGTGCTTGTCGACACCATAGCGCCAAGCCTTGTAGTTGGAGCATGTACCGTCCGGCTCGAGACGAAGGAGCGGGATCGGGTTGGCGAGTGAAGTGGTTGAGTAAGCCATTCGTGTGCAGCGCGCAGTCTGGAAATTGGTCGAGCGACTTCTGGAATTGACGAGAATTGCTGAAAATCACTCTGACGGCTTGTATCAAAATGCCGCTAAGTAGGAAATGGCGTC